AAACATCCAAACTGTACTCAAAAGATGTCCAAACCATGAGCGTGATCAACAATAGCTTCCTCCACGTCCAACTTGGTTTCTCCGTCACCTTCCTGCGGTTCATCAAGAGAGGCCAGAGCCTCGTTAGTAGCACTTGCAAAAGTTTCCCATGAGGTATCATCGTCTTCTTGAAAATTTGGGCTTTTAATGGCTTGTTTCATCTTTTTCCCCAATATTTGTGTTCTCCTCTTCCGCGTGGCTTTTTTATTTTCATACTCCTTTTGATTTTCAATGTAGAAAATATCCTTAATTTGTCCTTCACTGAAACTCGGAGTGTTTTTTAGGAGATTCAGAAAAACTCCACCTGGTGTTCTTCTTCGACTACCATTCATTACAAAAAGGCCACCATTTTGTTCAACTTCAGCAGTTTCCATCAGAAGTTCAATCACCTTTTTGTTCCCAATTATCCTTGCTCCTTGAGCGATCAGATCTTTCTTTGGTTCCTGTAACCTAAAAGAAATTTCATCAGCCACTTTTTCTTGAGAATCTTCCTCCGTGATCTCATACCTGCCTTTATAGTTCATTTCCAGTCTGGCCCCAAGTCTCTCTCTGACAGGTTGTTTCCGTTTGAGATGACCTTGACCATTTTCCTCTTCTTTTGACTCCGTTTTTTTGTCACTATGCATATAATCATCTAACTCTTTGTCTAAAGCTCATGTATATTCTTCAGATTCCCTCTTAAGTTTCTTAGCAAGCAAATAATTATAGGTCTCAGACTGTCTACCTTTGTCAATATTGCCCTCCATTCCCACAATACCCAGTTCATTGGCCACTGCGTCTTGATTCCGTTCTTGTAGCACAGCACCCCATGCGTTGTTGACCTTCTTCCCTCCACAACAGGTGGTTTCTGACTGCTCTGGCCAAACTGAAAAGGCTCAGGTTTGGGAGGGAGGAGAAGACATTTCTGTCGCGTGCGTTTCTAAAGAGAGCTATCATCAACTGAATCAGAAAAACTCTCTTCACTTGAATCCACACTTTGAACAATCCAGTAATGTGACACTGGTACATATGCTGTTGCAACAGTGTGGGAGGCCCTCACAGCACTGTCTCCACCAAGTATTTTAGGCACTTGCGGTGGCCTGTCTCTGGGTGCAACCGTCATATCGGAATCTGAGTCAGAAAGGTGCCCATCTTCCATGTCACCGGCTTCCAAAGCCATCTTCCCGCTCTGGTCTCAAACTCTTGATGATCCTCCTGCCTCAGCCCCCTGGGTGCTGGGATTACAGGTGTACACCACCATACCCTGCTTAATTCTGCTGTTTTAGTCAGTGCCCTATAAAACTGGTAGCCTAGCTTGGGCGGGGACTTGTGGGGATGCTATTGCTTGCAAGTTGTGTGCCACTCTCAAAACTCAGTGCCTTGCCAAGTTGGGATTTGTTCCAGCCATTTTTGCACTATTGGTGCCTTCTCTTTTGAAAGCAGATATTTCTTTGATCTCTCTCTCTCTCTCTCTCTCTCTCTCTCTCTCTCTCTCTCTCTCAGAGATTTACAAAACAGGTGGATTCTTAATTTGATGAGCTATTGGGAGGTAATGGAAACTTAGGAGACAGGACCTAACTGTAGGGAGTGGATTCTTGGGGCTTGCCCTTGGGGACTATATCTTGTTCTGGGGCCTCCTCTACTTCTGTCCACCATGAAGTGGGCAGCTCTCCTCTGCTCTTTCCTTATGCCTAACCACAAGCCTACTGATAACAGAGCCAGGGGACTAGGAATTGAAACTATGATCCAAAATAAGCCTTTCCTCTTTTGCTTTTCTCGGGTATTGTGTCATAGCAATGAAAAGCTAACATACTAGGCCCATGGGCACCAAAATGACACATACTGGGGGTCCTGAGGTCATTAGAAGGACTGGGCAATGATAGCAGGGTAATGAGGAAGACATGGAATAATCCCAGAGTCATGGGTGGACATGGGGAGGAATTCTGGGCATAGGAATTCTAGAACTCCTGACCTGGGAGTTCTGGAAGTCATTATTAGGATGGGAGTGAATCCCAAGGTCACTGATAGGCCTGGGGCTCAATCCCAACATCATGAGTAAGGCTAAAGGTTGATCTCTGAGTTACAGGCACAGTCATGGTCCCTCCCAGAGTCAGCAGTGGGGCTGGTATGAATCCCAGCATCATGGGCAGACTAGGAGTCAATCTCAGAGTCACGGGCAGAGCTAGGAGCAATCCCAGAGTTATGGGACAATCTGAGGTTAGGCCTGAGGTACTATGAACTATATCTGCCTGGGCTGGGCCAGCAAGATACTGGCTTCAGCTTCCATCCAGCACAGGTGTGGTAACAGGCTGGGGTTCCCCTGGTCTTTCCTCTCCCCCTCCTTCCTTCCCCAGCCTGATTCTCCAGGGACTGGGTGGAGATTTGGAAGAAGGAAGTTGGCGCCCCAGGCTAGGAGGAGGTGTGAGTAGGGACCCCAGGAAGGAGGCAGAAATGGATAAAGCGAGCATGGCATGTACAGACAATGGAATACTGTTTAGCTGTAACAAGAATGAAATTCTATCGATGCAGCATGACCAGGGAGTCTGGAAGACGCGATGGTAAGTGGAATAAGTCAGGCACAGAGACAAATGCCAGGTATGCACACACTGACTTATGGAAGCCAAGAACAGCTGATCGAAAAGCCAGCAGACGGGGCCAGGGAGATGGCTCAGTAGAATAAGCACTTGTCTGGCAAGTGCAAGGGCCTGAGTTCAATCCCCGGTTCTGCAAAAAAGAAAGTAAGAAAGAAAAGCCAGCAGAATGGTGATTACCAAAGACTGAGAAGGGTGTGGAAAGGGAGATGGAGAAGGTGATGAATGGGCCTGGGCCTGCCACCACACTCAGCTGAGACTAGATTTCTTACAAAACATCCGAAATACTCCTCACTAGATATTTTGAAATATATGCTAAACTGTGCTGTTGTACTTTAGAAGCCTTTCCTCCTAGCCACCTGCAGTCCCAGGCCCATTCATCACCGTCTCCATTTCCCTCTTTTGCCTGTAATCTCAGTGCTGAGGAGGCTGAAAACAGGAGGGTCACTACGAGTCCAAGCTGCGTAGTGAGACCATGTACTAAATACATTAAAACAAAAAACAAAATAAAACAGAAAGGTTTGGGTTTTTTTGTTTTTTTTTTTTGTTTTTTTGTTTTTTTACCAGGGATTGAACTCAGGCCCTTGTGCTTGCCAGGCAAGTGCTTATTGTACTGAGCTATCACCCGGGCCCCAAATTTATTTTATTTTATTTTTTATTTATTTTACTTATTTATTTTTGGCAGAACCAGGGATTGAACCCAGGTCCTTGCACTTGCTAGGCAAGTGCTTATTCTACTGAGTGCTTATTCTACTGAGGCAAGTGCTTATTCTACTATAATTTCTACAAAGTTATAATCTATACTGTTGGCTATTTCAAATAATTACAACAAAAGATTCAAGTTGGAGAAGGATGTGCTGGGCCTGCCGCCGCTGGGAGGCAGCCAGGACAGGCAGGGTCCTAGTCACTTCCGGTTGCTAGGACACAATACTGAGACCCACAAGGGGGAGGAACCCGAGTGTGGTGGTGCACATGTGTAATCCCTGCACTCAGTAAGGTGAGGCAGGAGGATCATTGATAGTTTGAGGCTACCCTAGACTACATAGTGGGCTTGAGACCAGCATGAACTACACACCAAGACCCTCTGGGGAAAAAAAAAAAAAGAGCAGTTCATTTCATTCACTGTTTTCAGTGGATTGTGTCCAAAGTTTGCTGGCTCCAAGATGGAACAGCTGAGGCAAGAGCACTGCAGAGGAAAGCTGCTTGCCTCATGGCCAGCCGGCAGGAAGCAGAGAGAGGAGGGAGGAATGGGGAGACAGACCCCTCAAAGGCACGCCCCCGTGACACACCTCTTCCAACCCGGCCCCGCCTCCTAACTGCTCACTTTAACTATGAGCTCATAGGTGGAGAGCACGCCCACGCTCACAGTCCAACTACCTTCCAAAAGCCCCATCTCTGAGTCCACAAGACTTTTGAGGGATATTTTAGGGCTACATAGCACAGGGACGGGGGGCCTGGCCCTAGCTCAGTCCTTTAAGTGGCTGCTTCCACAAAGCTGTCAGCCTCAGGTTGCTGGAGTTCGAACCTCACAACTCTCCCGCTGGCCAAAAGTGCCCTGAAGACATTCGAGGAACAAAAAAAAAAAAAAAACCATAGCACAGGGACAATCCCCCAACTGCCAGATCAGGGAGGGACAAAACCCAAGATCCCCTCTCATGTTCCCAAGAAAGTCCTGCGAAAGAATGCATACGATCCTAGCTCAGTCCCGAAGGCCTAGACCTCAGATCACCAAATGCCAGGGAGGGTTCGCTAATGGCCTTTCCTGGGGACTCCTGGCTGAGGGTCAGGAGCCTGGACGAAGTCTAGGTGAAGAAAAAAGCGAGATGAGAAGACAGCCAGCACCTCTGGGCCATAGGAAACAATGGCTTTTATTTTTCTTGGAAATGAGAATTGAACTCAGGGTCTTTACACTGAGCCTTATCCTCAGCACTGTTCTTTTTATTTTTATTTTCTTTTTGTGGTACCAGGGATCGAACTCAAGACCTTCTGCTTGCCAGGCAGGCGCTTAGGCTGCTGAGCTATCTACCTGACCCTGTGCTTTTTAAGTTTTGAGCCAGCATTTGGCCAAGTCACTTAGTTGTCCAGACTGGGCTTGAACTGGGATCTTCCCTTAGCCTCCCATAGGGCCTGGATTACAGGCTTGAGACAGGGCACTAGAACAAAAAAACAGGATTTTTCAGTCCACTGGCAGTTGGGCCATGTCAAGGACTACTGCGGATGACCCGCTTTTGTAGGAGCGCAATGCTACGTCATGTGGTCTCCAAGCATCATCCTTGGGCACAAGGGGGGGGTGCCTAGGGCCCCGCCCCGCCCCGCCCCTCTCCCCCAGGAGTCGCTGCTACACCTGTGTGGCAGAAAGGAGGCACAGGAGAGGAGGTCGTCAGGGACAGGATGCTCCTGGTGCTCACAGCCTTGCTGCTGTCCTGGGTGGGACCTGGAAAGCCTGGTGAGCTCAAGGGCGCCCCTGGGAGCACGGGGCGGCAGGGTGTGGAGCTCCACAGCGCTCACTTTGTCACCTCCCCCCAGCCCCACTGCCAGAAGACACAGCAGAAGGTGAGAGCCAACCCTCCAGGCCCAGCCATGGCATCACCCCATCAACGCCCTCCCGCCCCCAAATTGAAGACTCAGGCTCGAGAGTAACTGAGCCTGGAGGGCATCTTCGGACTATGCCAAAGGGCCCCATAACACCTTCTCCTTTGGTGGCTGACCCTGGCTCCCTCTCCCCACCCCAACCCCCGCATCCTCTGGATGTCCTGTCCCTCTCTCTGAGTGTGGGCCTATCCCACCCTGCTCAGCCCCAAGTCTGTCTAGTCATGCTAGGTACCTGCGGCCATCGGAAGATTCTCTCGCGCGTGGTGGGTGGAGAAGATGCAGAACTGGGGCGCTGGCCATGGCAAGGGAGCCTCCGCCAGTGGGGCACCCACATCTGCGGGGCAAGCCTGCTGAGCCGCCGTTGGGTGCTCACCGCTGCCCACTGTTTTGAAAAGTGAGTTGGGGGTGGGCAGCAGACCGAGGCCTCAGGGCTCTGGGGCCCTCACCTGAGCACACAACCATGAGTGTGGATAAACCTAACTGAGTTCTAAGTCCACTGAAGGAGCAGATTATACCACAGGAGTTGGAGCATAGCTCTCCAGCTCCAGGAGTGGCAGGTGTGGTGGGACTGGCCTGGCCACCAAAGTTCCCTGCAGTCCAACTCATTCTCTTTGTTTTGCCAGGAGCCCCACCTTGGCCCCCACATCCACTCTATTATGGGCTGCAAAGAGGTTCCCTGAGGGATCCAAGCCATTTCCCTATCCTTAGGACAGCTGTGGACGGTGAGGCCTGATAGAGGACTCACCTCCTCCTCCTCCTCCTCCAGCAGTGCCCATGAGTGGAGACTGGCTATGGCCTGCCTGGGCTCAGAGGATTACATACAGGTCCCTTTGGCCCACAAGAAGGGCTTGGTGCAGATGTCCAAGATGAGCAAATAGTACAGCCCCCCACTCCCAGGATATGGGAGATGGCCTAAGTGCCAGCCCTCCTCCCAAGCCCTGAGTCTTTTCTCCTTCCTGCCAGGAACTTTAATCCATATCCATGGACGGTCCAATTTGGTGAGCTGACTGCAGCGCCGTCTATATGGAACATGCATGCCTACTATAATCGCTACCAAGTGGACAAGATCTTTCTGAGCCCCAAGTACTACGGGGTGGTTCCTTATGATATTGCCCTGCTGAAGCTGACTTCCTCTGTCACCTACACCAAGTACATCCAGCCTGTCTGCATCCCAGCCAACATGTCCAAGTTTGAGAACCGGACTGACTGCTGGGTGACCGGCTGGGGGGACATCGAAGAGGATAAGAGTGAGGCTGGGAAGATGGTCACTATCCTGCTCCCCTGTCCAGCCATCTCAGGCTCAGCAGCCCCTTTTTGGCCCCTGGGGCACTGCTGACCCCCTTTGTCCACCTGCTCGGCATCCCACCCATCTGCTCGTCTCTTCTCACTCCCACCTGCAAGGGCAGGAACCAAACACCCAATTCTCTCCCCTTGTAGACCCAGGGGCCTAGGGCAGGGGTGCAGGGGCGTGTAGTTGGGCCAGAGCAGCAGAGATGGAAGGGCTGTGGAAGGGTCTCGGAGTTGCTTTATTCATACATCTTTCCATTTCCACGGCCACCTGTCTGCAAGCCCCACTCGAGCTCCCTGGAACCAGCTCAATTCTGGCTGCCTCTCCTAGAGGGCTGAGCTCTCTCTCCTCAAAATTCCCAAGCCTGCCAGCCACGTAAACCCACAACTCTGGGAGACTGAAGCAGGAGAACCACAAATTTGAGCCCAGTCTGAGCAATTTAAAGATTTAGCAAGACCCTGTCTCAAATGAAAAACAAGGAATTGGGTTAGGATGTAGCTCAGCTGAAAGACCCTGGGTTCAGTCCCTAGTGTCAGGAAAGAAGGGTGGGGGGGGAGGAAGAAGGTTGTCCACAACAAGCCATCCTCTTCCTACCCTGGCTCACAACTAAACTCTCCTGAAGTCCCCAAGCAGCACAGTCTAGCACTTGCCTACCTCATGAACCAAGAATCCCCTGAAAGCGCTGGGCATAGCCTTCCCTGAGGTGAGCTGAGGCTAGATGAGCCAATTCTTTGTGCCTGGAATGTGTCATCTCCTGAAGACCGCAGTTCTCACTGACAACTGTGTCAGGCTGGGGCCCTGGTGAGAGCGGAACAAGAGCTCTGCTCCTGCTAGAGCTTACCTATAAATGAAGCTAGGAGTCTGAGACAGGAGGATTGCTGCAAGTTGGAGACCAACCTAGGTTACAAAGTGAATTCAAGGCCAGCTGAACTACATAGAGAAATCTTGTCTCCAAAACAAAACAAAAACAACCTAAATGAGGCTGGGAGTGTTCTGTACCCGTTTTACAGATGAGGATAAGTGAGATCATGAAAATTGCCCAAAGCCCCAGAACTAGTAAATGGAGTAGAAGCCAGGGCTCCAGGGGCTCAGACAGCCTAAGGGATGTTTCCAAGGTTGTGCACCTAGAATTGTCCGGGAGATTGTATTGTAAAATCAATACTAGATCTGCCTCCTCTAGGAAAGGGCTCAATCGTTTCCCATAGAAGGGGCCCTTGCTGCAAAGGATGAAAAGGTTTGAGCCAAGGAACCCTGCTAGGTCTCCTCTGCTGGCCTCCTTTCCTGGCCTGAGCTGACAGTGGCCTCAGAAAGCCTGGGGCTCCACCATTGCTCTCAGTGCTCGGGGAGCAGTGGGAGGCCTGTCTGGAGCGCCTTTTCCTTGCAGGAGCTTTTGCTGTGGCAGGTGCGAGCTGGGAGATTCTTGACAAGGCACTTACTTCATCTCTGCCTCAATTTCCTTATTGGTAAAATGGGGAGGTAAAAGTGCTGACATCAAAGGGTCGCCCTCGCCACTCTCGGCAGAGCCAGGTGAACCCTGCAACCCCTGACTCACATCAGGCTCTGATGCTTCCTTGGTGCCTTTTGGAAAGGGGCTCTTCCCCTGATTCTTCCCTTGTCTGGCAGTGGGTCCCGATGCCCACTCCTTTCAGAGGAGCCCCAAGAGCGCTCCATACAGCTCTTGGCTCAAGCCCCAAGGGTGCCCAGATGTCATCAAGGAGAATGCACCCAACTAGCTGACCCTCACTCCAGTCTGGTCTCTGGGTGCCTTCGCAAGGCTGTGGTGGTCCTAAGCCATCTTAGCGTGGTCAGAGCCCCTCCCTCAGGCATGTTTTGGCTCAGGAATCTACCAGCGCAGGCAGGGTCTTTGTGTGTATTTTATAGATGGGTAGCTGAGTCCCAGGGCAGAGTGCTAATAGCGTGTCCACCGACTCGGCCTTTCTGTGATATTATTGATCTTTGATGACATCCTGTTTGTAGGGCTAGAGCTGGAAGCCATCAAGAGTGATATCCTGCCAGGAATGGTGGTGCACACCTGTAATCTCAGCACTCTGGAAGGTTGAAGCTAAAGGTTACAAGTCTGAGACAAAGCTGGGTGACCTTTTTTCTTTAAACAGGATCTCACACTGTAGCCCAGGCTGGTCTCAAACTTGCAGTGATCCTCCTGCCTCAGCCTCTCAAGTGCTGGGAGTACAGGCATGTGTCACCTTGCCCAGCCAGTCTGGGTAACTTTGCCTCAAAATAAAAGATAAAGAGAGGCTGGGATATCAAAATATCTAAAGGGACTTATTGCAAAGGCTCTGGATTCAATCCTTCAATTCCCAGTACAAAAAAAAAAAAAAAGAGGTAGAGGAGGAGAAAGATGAAATAGCAGTAGAATTATGTCCTAGGTGCCCCAAGGACACTGTCACCCCACAGTCTCCCTCTCTCCACAGGGAAGATAATCATGTTGCCTGTCTCTGTCCATGCCCTAGCTCTGCCGGCCCCCTACACTCTCCAGGAAGTACAGGTCAGCATCATCAACAGATCCATGTGTAACCACCTGTTCCAAAAATCATCCTTCCGTGTAGACATCTGGGGAGACATGGTGTGTGCTGGCGATGCCGCGGGTGGCAAGGATTCCTGCCTTGTGAGTGTCCCCAGCCCCACTGCTCCCATCCCTCAACCTGACAGCAATCTATCACCATACCCCGTTTGGTCTCTTCAGATTGGGAGCTAGAGACTCTGTCCCACTTTGCAGATACAGAAACTGAGGCTGTGTCATTGCCAGAGGAGGGGACAGCTCCACAGACCCCAGCTCTCCCAAACACTCTGCTAGAATCCCCACCCCAACCCAGGCTGGGCTCACCCATGCTACCCCCCAGGGTGATTCAGGAGGACCCTTGGTCTGCGACCTGGATGGGCTGTGGTATCAGATAGGAATCGTGAGCTGGGGAGTGGGCTGCGGGCGCCCCAATCGGCCGGGAGTCTACACTAACGTCAGCCAGCACGTGCAATGGATCCTGAAGACAGTAGCACGCGGTGGCGCACCCAGGCTGGGCCTCTCCCCGCTGCTGTTGCTCCTCACTCTGCCCTGGACTCCCCGGTTTGTGGGCCTCATCTGAACCCATGTGACCCACTATGTTAGGGCCATCTGCTGAGTCAGGCTCTGGTCCTCTTTTGCCCTGTCTATAATAAACATGTTGGAGTTGACCTCAGCAGAGTAGCTTCCTGTCCACCCCTGTCCAGTCCAGCCCTAGATCTCATTTCCAAACCTGTCTACCCATCTGCATTAGCCAGGTTTAGACTGAACAGCAGAATTATCTCTGGCTAGTTCAACCACAAACATAATTTATGGGAGGAGCTGGGGATATAGCTCAGTAGCACAGTGCCTGCCTGGCAAGCATAAGGTCCTGAGTTTGATTCCTGTTACCAAAATAATAATAATAATAATAATAATAATAATAATAATAATAATAATAATAATAAAAATAATAAATAATTTATGGAAGGAAGATCAGAGCTCTGAGTGTCTTGGGTAGATGACAGGTGTGCCAGAGAAAATGCCAGTGTGACCCATTATACAAGCACCAGACACACCTGCCATGGTCCCCCAGATGCCAAACTAGGATCCAGACTTGACAGAAGGTAGTTTATTGGGAGGTGACCTCAGGAAGTGTAGGCGAGGAAGTGGGGAAGCAGGCAGAGAAAGGGTTGCATGAGTTGAGTAAGGAGGTTACCATTACAGGCAGCTGAGGCACAATTCTTCTTGAGCCTCAGCATTGACCCGCAGAAGACAAGAAACCCCGGGCTGGGCACTGTCTTCTGAGCCCCCTCCCATGGATGCAGGGTGGACCTAGGTGCGCCGGGCCTGCAGAGCTGAAGCTGACCCCAGTGAGGCTGTCAGTACTTCTCCAGCTGCAGCAGGGCTGCAAGATGATGGATTTGGCTTGGGGCTTGGTTTTGTTTTCAGTTTGGTTTTCTGGCTTGGTTTTTTGAGACAGGGTCTCCTGTATAGTTCAGACTGACTTAGAACTCATTATGTAGCTCAGGCTGGCCTCAAACTTGCAGCAATTCTCCTGCCTCCACCTTCTGAGTGCTGGGATTACAGGCATGCACCACCATGCTGAGCCACCAATGAGATGGCATCCACCCCATCTGTCCCCAGCAGGACCTTCAGCCTCAGCATGGCCAAGGGACCAGTCTAGATCGGCAGTGTCAGGGCCCTCTGCACTGTTCAATCAAACATGTGTTTTGCAAGGTCCCTCAGTGCTGTGAGAGCAGAAATGGGAAAGATGCTCCAGCCAGATCTGCCGCTATGCCACCCACAGTCTTGCTTCCAGGAAGAGGCACCCTGGGAAGCCCATTGTCTCATCCAGGAGCTAGACTGGAAAGGGGTTTAATACCACACACCCAGCAGAGGTACCTGCAAGGGCGAGCTCTGCACTGTGCACTGGGGCCCTGCTCTTCCTTCCCCATGTCACTTCCACAGAGATCTGGAAACTCCTGATGATAAGTCCTGCCAGCCCCAGGAACCCCCATCCCAGTGTTACTGCACCTTCCAGGGCTGCCCCTGGCACACCCAACACTGTGCTCCACTCAGTTGCTACAGGGCCTCCTGTGCCCCCTTCCCAGCCAGATATCCCAGAGGCAGGTTCCTCAAAAAGATGTCCCCACAACCTGGATAAGGCCTCCACGAGACCTGCTTCTCTGCTGGCCCCTGTCCTGTACCTAACACTTGGCCCCTCCAGGCCAAGTGTCATGGTTTCTCCCATGGCTGGTGGTATGTGCCCAGCAGGCAGATGCCCCACTTCCTGCAGTGGCTATGAGCTAGGACATAGGTCAGCATAGCCAGGCTGGCATCTGCAGGGGGAAGGACCTTGGCAGAAACCACAGGCTTGTGGGTCTCACATGCAGCCCTCACACAGCCCCTTCTCAGCTCACCCCACAAAGGGCCTGAAGGGCCCCATTCTCAGATCTCTTGCCAGGCTGCCAGAGTAACAAGGAAGACTGGGTCAGGTGGCTCCAATGCCCCCTCCAGTAATTGCAGGCAGAGATGGGGTAGAGACAGGATGTGTCCACCAGCCAGCATTGGAGATGGTGCCACTCACTACCCTCTCCAGCGACACAACCAAGATGAACATGTCTGGAATTCAAAGAACCAGGGAGAAAGTGAGCCCCAGTCAGGTGAAGTGTGTGCCCTCTACCACCTGACTAGACTCAGACCTAGAAGTAGGCAATATTAGGGGCTGTGCCCTTGCTCTTTCCACTAAAGAGCTCACAGCCCAAGCAGGTAGGCACATAGTGCTCTGTGCCCTCTTTCTCCAGAATAGGAGAAGTTCCCTCAGTGCTGTGAGCACAGAAAGGGGAAAGATGCTCCGGCCAGATCTGCCACTTTGCCACAGAAGTCTGGAAGATAAACTGAGACATGGCACCAGAGCCAAACACCACTGAGCCCTGCCAGATGGGGTCTCTGCCAGGGAGACAGGAGAGAGAGAGAGCCCAACCTTCCCCAAGAGGTACTGTTTATTTTTGTTCTGTGGCTGCCTCGGGCACCTTGCATCTGGCCTGACTGCATGGGACTCCACACTGCCACACACGGAGATACTCACCTTGGTCACAGCAGGCCTCAAGCTGGCACTTGTCCCAGTTGGTTCCACCTGGCAGGCTCTCTGCAGCCCAACTCAGTCAGGGCCAGAGAGGCCTCCCCGAGCCATGACCAAACAGGAAGTCTGACATTGCACACGTGCAGGCCCACCTCGCTCCTCTCCACAGAAGCAGCCTCCCCACTCTGGTAGCAGATCTGGCTGTGCATACTTCCCTTCTAATGCTTCAGTGGAAGTCCTAATAAAGCCCTTCGCATGACAGAATTTGGCATATTTGTGATTTGTATTGAGAGTAGAGTGTGTTGAACTAGTACTCTGGTGACACCAAAGGGCCTGACAGGGTTCTCATCTGTGACTGCCAGCAGTGAGCAGCCAGAGAAGGAGAACAACAGAACTGCTAGAATCTGCCTTCTCTGATGGTCCAAGAGTTCTCAAGGCCTGTCAGTGGCTGATGCCAAGTGACAAGGAAGGCCGCTAACCCTAAGAGCTAATCGGCACCCTAATCCAAAGCTCAGAGCTATTCACACTAAGGGAGCGACACTTTGCCAATTGATGCTTCATGTGTGGATGAACCAAGAGCCCTGCGCTGAGCAGTGACATCTTGGTGATCTGCACGGGGACTCTCCCTTTTGGAGCGCCCTGGAGAAGAAGGTGGACAATGGAGACGGTTGTCAACAGTGAAAAAGAGGCTCAAGAGCTGCCTGCCCTGTGACTGATTTCCATCATATATATTTAGTACAGGGTCTACAGGGTCTCACCACGTACGTAGGTCAGACTCGTAGTGATCTGCCTGTGTTCAGCTTCCCAAGCCCTGGCATTACAGGTGTGCACCACCACGCCCAGTCTCAATCGCTGTCTCAGAGCAGCCAGCCCTGATTTCCATCTTTTTTTTTTCAGCATACAAACTTTATTTAACAAAAACAGGTAACATCAAACAGTCACTTTTAAGGGGCCAGGGAGATGGCTCAGTAGAATAAGCGCTTGCTTGGCAAGTGCAAGGGCCTGAGTTTAATCCCCGGTTTCTCCAATAAATAAATAAATAATTAAAATTAAAATTAAAAAACAGACACTTATTTTAAAAACTGTCTAGAAGAAATGTCTTAAACACCTTACAATAACCTACTTGTAGTTGCATTAAACTGAGCTCTGTTTCTGTGAAGAATACAGCTCATGCACAGGTACAGAAGAATGATTATACATTTTTCAAGTATTCACTGAATACCACCTCTTATACACATACACATTAAATTTGAAAAAGACTTAACTGTTGATCAAAGATACATTTCATTTTTGTTGTTCTTTTGGAAGAGGTGGTCTGAACAGAAGAATACTTGGTTCTGGCTCATGAATCATGTAATGAACCCAGCCTAGACTCTGCGGGACACCAAGTCTTCTCCATTCCTCTCCAGACATCAGATAAATTTTGGGTACTTTTTGGACAGTTCTCTCGGCAACATAACATGCTGATACTCGTAGTGCTTGTCGAAATACTTGTCCGAGTAGTAAATCTGCTTATGGGTCATTCTGCCGGCGTGCAGCGGTGCGGAAAGCGAAGTGAATGAGAAACCGACTGCAGCTCAGCCGGACATGCATCTCCTCTGGGACAAGGCAATGAGCAGACTCCCTGATTTCCAGTGAAACACACTTGTTGGCCAGAGACACCTACGGGCCTCCCTCATGGCTGCAAAGGTCGCCTGGGGCCAAGCCCTAACTGCCTTCTCCCTGCCCAGCGCTACACCACATCCCAGAATGAGGCACTGGAGGTGCCTTTAAGCCCTGGCCCTCCTGCAGACACCACTGCAGACTTAAGTCTTGCATCAAGTGGCACTTGGAGGCCTCCAGCAGGGTGGCTGCCTCTGTACCCAGAGTGAGAGCTCTCTCCACTCCCACATTTTTCTGCTTTCCTTGCCAGTCCCAGGTCTGTCTCCACAACAGCTTGGGCTGTTAGGGTGCAGTGTAGCTCCAAGCCAGGTACCCAGCTTCAACCCAGGCATTGGGACACTTAAGAAGTTCTCAGGCTGTGCAGAATCAGTGCACCATGCTGGGTCACACACACACACACACACACACACACACAGCCCCCCCAGCCATCTTCTAAAACACTCAGACTCACCCTCACCCCTCACAGGCCTCTGATGTACCCCACTCATAATCTCACCTGGTATTGGGGTCAGAGGAAGGAGCGATGAGATAGCTGGGCACCTGGGCTCATCCTAGATGGGCTGACCCTCCACACTTAGCTTCTGAATTTGGCTGCAGCCTAAGCAGACCCCACAAACACAACTCCTGGGCACAGAGGCCCCCAGCTCTCCATATTCTGGGGACCGTCACCTGACCCCAAGGGTCTCTCTGGTCTGGTCCTGGAACATCAGGATCCACAGCACCCATCTTTGCATGCACACCTCCCCGTTGGCTGCTGTACCTGCAGTTATGCCAATGACAGGACACACAGGAGCTTTGCTCGGCCCCCAGGCACTGTGACACCTCCAGCTGGAGTGGAGGAGCTGGGACTTGGGGAG